CGCCGGAGTGTGAATGCCAAGGGTTATTTGCGGAGCCGCAGCCACACATCAGCGACTGTTTGCCTAAATGGACGGCACTACACGAACGCTTTCCCGATGAATGAGCAGGAAGTCGATGCGGGCAACAATAGAAGAAGAGAAAGAGCTTTTTACGCCGTGTTCTGCGACGGGATTCTGGGATTTAACCTTTTCTTTGTCTGCTTAACAAGCCGCCGAGAGTTTTGGAGGCGCCCAACACCAACTAGGCTGACCTTTGGCTGTGCGTGTCGCGGGAGATGAGCTAACTTAGCCGCTGCAGAGAAAAATCAGTAGAGTTTGGCTAACGGCAGTGTCGGGAAAGATACTTCAAAAATGTACAGAATGTGTTACTTAAATATTACTGTCTCTGAATAGTATTATTACAACTACTGCATTACTTTGAAGTCACCAAATATATTTAAGTACAAACTAGATGTAGCTTATGATGCTAATTATAGAAATATAAACAGTGCTGCTTCGTCTTCAGCCTCAGCGTCTTCGACCAGAAACACTTCTAGACTAACACTATCGGTGCAGATGTGTCTCCTTCTGATCTGAGCATTAAAACAAAACACATTTATTCTGAATTATGTGTGAATTCTGCCGCTCGAACAAGAAGAAACGATCTTACCTTACTCCAGCATTGACTCCAGTTTAGAATCCTCACACTCTGCAAAACATTTAGGATTCACTTCAAACCTCAAACTGTACAGCCTCAGATCCTCTACTTTTATGCTCCTTGTAAATGGAATCACTTGTTTTTCCTTGCCGTTAAAACAAACGAGGCACATGGGTTTTGTAAAGTCTCTCTGACCAACAACAATGGAGAAATGACCTGAACATGCAGTAGGTTTGTTTATTCGGTCATACAAATTATTATTATTTTTTTTTACATTAACTCATTGACTGCCTGCCGTTTTTGATGATTTCACTGATTCTCAAGATCCATAGAATATTATTTCCTAAGACTATGTGAAATGTGAAACCAGATTCTGAAAGACTGGATTGTCTACTTTAATCAGCAAAAATAAGTTTGTTTTTAGCTATTTTTATTGTCCTGTAATCCCCAGTCAAATAGAGGGTCCAAGATAAATTTGTCAATGGCAGTCAATGAGTTAAAAAGGCATTCAAAAAAGGTCCACGGTTACAAAAACAATGTATTGTTATAGAAATATTTTAGTGAAGCAACCTGAATTAACACCAAATAGTTCTGAGTGTAAGTTATTAACAGTGAACTCTGGATTCAGATTCAGGCCATGATGCTCTGTTGGCTCAGGTCAGTGAAAGATGGAGACGCATCGAGTCCTGACAAGAACCAGGAAGTACGACCACATTAGTCCTGACTAGAACCAGGAAGTACGACCACATTAGTCCTGACTAGAACCAGGAAGTACGACCACATTAGTCCAGTCCTCAGGTCTCTGCACTGGCTTCCTGTGGCTCAGAGAATAGACTTTAAAACAGCTCTGCTTGTTACAAGTCTCTCCATGGCCTCGCACCAAAATATATTAGTGACATGTTAGTCCCATATGAACCAGCCCGGACTCTGAGGAGCACAGGGACTGGACTCCTGCTGGGACTCTGAGGAGCACAGGGACCGGACTCCTGCTGGGACTCTGAGGAGCACAGGGACTGGACTCCTGCTGGGACTCTGAGGAGCACAGGGACTGGACTCCTACTGGGACTCTGAGGAGCACAGGGACTGGCCTCCTGCTGGGACTCAGAGGAGCACAGGGACTGGCCTCCTGCTGGGACTCAGAGGAGCACAGGGACTGGACTCCTGTTAGTGCCCAGAGTCAGAACTAAACATGGGGAGGCTGCTTTTCAGATTCATGCTGCTAAAATCTGGAACAGTCTTCCTGAAGATGTGAGACAGGCCTCCTCTCTGACAATGTTTAAAACCAGGTTAAAGACAGTTCTGTTTAGCTGTGCTACAACTGAGGGATTTTATATTTGTATCTTTCTTTTTAATATTCTGTGATTATTTATGATTTTAATGCTTTCTTGTTTTGTTCAGCACTTTGAGTTGCCTTGTGTATGAATTGTGCTATATAAATAAACTTGCCTTGCCTTGCCATCATGTCTTTGACAATATGTTCAGTTCTAATGCAGATTGTTACATATATCAGAGTTGTATCAGCGTTAGGACGTGTAAAGAGAAGCCTTGAGCAACACGTATCAATGTTGACTTCATCTCTGTAATATCTAGAGTAGATATGTGTTTGTTTACTCTGGTCTATGTAATGTGCAGTTATTTCCTCAATCGGGGCAGTGGTATTGGTATCGGTTCTGTTATTCATTGTAATTGTGCACATTTACTAATGAATAAACTCACACTTTGTTTGGAATTACAGCTCTGAGTTGTTCACATTATTTTACTCTTGTTATGTGCAGAATTTCCACAACAGTATCTTATGTCAGTAGTGTACGTGCTTTAACATAGATTTACAAACACAATTGTGACCAAAGGGACTGAAGTGGATCTTATTTTTGCCTAATCCAATTCATTAAGTAAAGTCTCTAAAGTATTTTGAAGGGGGCAAAACCCTTTTCAAAATAGAAGCTAAACTAAATGTCAACATCAGGAGAAAAAAATATATATATATAATAAACAATAGGACAAAAAGGAACGATTAGAGTATATCAATAATTTGAGAAAACATTTAAATTGTAACAACGAAAGAAAACAGCAATAAGCCGTCTTAGAAATGTAGGAGAGCTGCCAGACCTATCCTTCTTGGGCTTGGTATTTTCCTTAAAATATTATGTTTAATATTTTTTTTTAAGTTTTCAATGTGTAGGAGTTTTTACTTAATGGTCTAAATGCTAAACGTGGATGTGAAAGTCCGACTCCGGTCCGTTCTAGTCTGAAATAAGTTCTGTCCCAACTCAAAAATACCTTCAATACTCATGACTTTGCATATTCTTTTCATATGCGCCAATTTTCTGCAACAAGACTGCAGCAAAAGAACCACTTTGACCGGAGATATGCAGCCTCACGAAACCTTCAATCCACTTCCCTTCTTAACACCGCTCCACTCAAATTACTTTTATTCCAAAATCAGAAATTGCAGGAGATATAAAAGAAGCTTTGTACAAAAACCCTGTTCTACCTCGAATCGTCCGACCAGAGAAAAGAGAAATATCTTCCCCTCAGAGGCTTTGGGTTTTTTTGCGGCGCGCTGCTCTTTCCAGATCAATTATTCTCACTAAAATAAGTAAGAGGTGAGTATGAAATATTAACGTCCGAGTCCGGCCGCGAGCGGGTGTTGTACGGCTTTTATATATCATGACCGCGGAGCGACGGCGGCCAATCGGAATCACAGCTGGAGTGGCTTTGGGGACAAATGGGGGAGGAAGGGGGAGGTAGAGGGAGGAAGAGGGAGGTTTGGGAGTTAGGGGGAGGATAGGGAGGTAGGGGGAGGATAGGGAGGTAGGGGGAGGATAGGGAGGTAGGGGGAGGTAGGGGGAGGATAGGGAGGTAGGGGGAGGTTTGGGAGGTAGGGGGAGGATAGGGAGGTAGGGGGAGGTAGGGGGAGGATAGGGAGGTAGGGGGAGGTTTGGGAGGTAGGGGGAGGTTTGGGAGGTAGGGGGAGGTTTGGGAGGTAGGGGGAGGTTAGGGAGGTAGGGGGAGGTTTGGGAGGTAGGGGGAGGTTTGGGAGGTAGGGGGAGGTTTGGGAGGTAGGGGGAGGTTAGGGAGGTAGGGGGAGGTTTGGGAGGTAGGGGGAGGTTTGGGAGGTAGGGGGAGGTTTGGGAGGTAGGGGGAGGTTTGGGAGGTAGGGGGAGGTTAGGGAGGTAGGGGGAGGTTTGGGAGGTAGGGGGAGGTTTGGGAGGTAGAGGGAGGTAGAGGGAGGTAGGGGGAGGTTTGGGAGGTAGGGGGAGGTAGGGGGAGGTTTGGGAGGTAGGGGGAGGTTTGGGAGGTAGGGGGAGGATAGGGAGGTAGGGGGAGGTAGGGGGAGGATAGGGAGGTAGGGGGAGGTAGGGGGAGGATAGGGAGGTAGGGGGAGGATAGGGAGGTAGGGGGAGGATAGGGAGGTAGGGGGAGGTAGGGGGAGGTTTGGGAGGTAGGGGGAGGTTTGGGAGGTAGGGGGAGGTTTGGGAGGTAGGGGGAGGTAGGGGGAGGTTTGGGAGGTAGGGGGAGGTAGGGGGAGGATAGGGAGGTAGGGGGAGGTAGGGGGAGGATAGGGAGGTAGGGGGAGGATAGGGAGGTAGGGGGAGGATAGGGAGGTAGGGGGAGGATAGGGAGGTAGGGGGAGGTAGGGGGAGTTAGAGGTAAGGGGAGGTTAGGGAGGTAGGGGGAGGATAGGGAGGTAGGGGGAGGATAGGGAGGTAGGGGGAGGTTTGGGAGGAAGGGGGAGGTTTGGGAGGTAGAGGGAGGTTTGGGAGGAAGGGGGAGGTTTGGGAGGTAGGGGGAGGTTTGGGAGGAAGGGGGAGGTTTGGGAGGAAGGGGGAGGTTTGGGAGGTAGAGGGAGGTTTGGGAGGAAGGGGGAGGTTTGGGAGGAAGGGGGAGGTTTGGGAGGAAGGGGGAGACAGAGGTAGAAATGTTAAATTTCTAACCGAAAAATCCCAAAAAGCTTTGATACGAAGCGAGGCCACATCACAGGGACGGAGCAGCGGTACAAGAGCGTTGCCACGGCGACCGATCCGAGGTCTGTAATCAGACCGGACTCTGCCGCTTTGTTGTCCCACGGAGACAAACAATTACAAAGTCAAACCTGAAACTTGAGCAACACAATCATAGAAGTCTGCAGAGATGTGTCGAGGCAAGTTTATCTGTATGGCACAGTTCATACACAAAGGGATGAACTAGATGGAGAGAGAGAGAGAGACCAGAGAGACCAGAGAGAGACCAGAGAGAGAGACCAGAGAGAGACCAGAGAGAGAGACCAGAGAGAGACCAGAGAGAGAGACCAGAGAGAGAGACCAGAGAGGGACTAGAGAGAGACCAGAGAGAGAGACCAGAGAGAGACCAGAGAGGGACTAGAGAGAGACCAGAGAGAGAGACCAGAGAGAGACCAGAGAGAGACCAGAGAGGGACTAGAGAGAGACCAGAGAGGGACTAGAGAGAGACCAGAGAGAGACCAGAGAGGGACTAGAGAGAGACCAGAGAGGGACTAGAGAGAGACCAGAGAGGGACTAGAGAGAGAGAGAGAGAGACCAGAGAGAGAGAGACTAGAGAGAGACCAGAGAGAGAGACCAGAGAGAGACCAGAGAGAGACTAGAGAGAGACCAGAGAGAGAGACCAGAGAGAGACCAGAGAGAGACTAGAGAGAGACCAGAGAGAGTCCAGAGAGAGACCAGAGAGAGTCCAGAGAGAGACCAGAGAGAGACCAGAGAGAGACCAGAGAGAGACCAGAGAGAGAGACCAGAGATAGACTAGAGAGAGTCCAGAGAGAGACCAGAGAGAGACCAGAGAGAGACCAGAGAGAGAGACCAGAGATAGACTAGAGAGAGACCAGAGAGAGACCAGAGAGACCAGAGAGAGACCAGAGAGAGACCAGAGAGAGACCAGAGAGACCAGAGAGAGTCCAGAGAGAGACCAGAGAGAGACCAGAGAGAGACCAGAGAGAGACCAGAGAGAGAGACCAGAGATAGACTAGAGAGAGACTCTTTTGTACATATTTTATTTCATGTTATCCCCTTTTTATTGGTTTTATCGGTCGCACCCACAACAAGTTTTATTTTGATTATTATTATTATTATTATTATTATTATTATTATCGACTGAAACAAAACTGCACCTTCTCTCCCTTTACCAGCCTCTTTCATCAGCACTATTCAGACAGTCCTTCTATAAACACACATGGTTCTTCTAACACGCTCCAACCCAAACCATGTGTCTCTCTGATAGTCACACACACACACACACACACACACACACAAAGTGCCTGTTCAAAGTGCTCAGTGCTGCGGCTCCTGGAACTGTCTTCTAAACCTCAGACAAATCCTCTCATTGTGGATGAAAGCAATAGTTTTACAGTGCGGGTTTGAGGGTTCGTTAGCATAATAAACCCGGCACATGTGTCGGTACAATGAGGCCCCGGCGACTCGGAGCTTAAGCCGCCGCAGCTCACGGTGAGGAGCTTTAACGGTGACGCCGCAGACACTGGATCTGACTGTAAAAACACTTTCACTTTGACAATGGAATTAAACAGGCTTTGTCAGACGCACAGATGAAAGGGTGGATGTTAGCTTAGTGTTAGCTTAATGTTAGCATTAACGCTAAAGAGGCTTATTTGGACGGATAAATAGCTGGAGCCTATTTCCTCAGGGACTAACGAGTGATTTTATGAATTATACATTTATAACTATTGGCAGTGCTAAAGTTTGACTGAAAAAAGTCTTAAAATATGAAGATAAGATATTATTTATTGATCTATGTTAGAGAAGAAGTCTGTCTCGCATTTTCAGGAAGACTGTTCCAGATAACAGCTGCTTGAATCTGAAATGCAGCCTCACCATGTTTAGTCCTGGCTCTGGGACCAGCAGGAGGCCGGTCCCTGTGCTCTTCAGAGTCCCAGCAGGAGGCCGGTCCCTGTGCTCCTCAGAGTCCCAGCAGGAGGCCGGTCCCTGTGCTCTTCAGAGTCCCAGCAGGAGGCCGGTCCCTGTGCTCTTCAGAGTCCCAGCAGGAGGCCGGTCCCTGTGCTCCTCAGAGTCCCAGCAGGAGGCCGGTCCCTGTGCTCTTCAGAGTCCCAGCAGGAGAACAGTCCCTGTGGTCCTCAGAGTCCCAGCAGGAGGCCAGTCCCTGTGCTCCTCAGAGTCCCAGCAGGAGGCCAGTCCCTGTGCTCCTCTGAGTCCCGGTAGGAGGCCAGTCCCTGTGCTCCTCAGAGTCCCATCAGGAGGCCAGTCCCTGTGCTCCTCAGAGTCCCAGCAGGAGGCCAGTCCCTGTGCTCCTCAGAGTCCCAGCAGGAGGCCAGTCCCTGTGCTCCTCAGAGTCCCAGCAGGAGGCCAGTCCCTGTGCTCCTTATAGTTTATGATTCTACAGAAGCCTGCACAGGACAGTATGTGGTCTTTGGAAAAGGGGAATAAAAACAATTCCAAAACATGGCCGATGTAAATATTCTTAAAAAGGCCACATTTGTTTTTGCTTCAAATGTTTTTTCATTTGGAGCGACTCCGATTACACACATCAAAAACACACGATCACCAGAATGATTGACATTTAGGACCCATAGATCCACCCGGAAAAACACAATCCTCCTCTAGACCTTCGTAGGCTCTGGTCCGTGTGTTTCCATGTTTCCATCGGGTCACATCCCATTTCCATTTGGCCCAGAATCCGTCTCAAACTGTGGGAGTAAAGTGCTGAGTCGACACATTCAGTTCCGTCCACAGTTATTTTTAACATTGACTTTTTTACAAGTCGAGCGTTTGCCTGAGGCTCAAAGACAAACTGTTCCCCCGCCGCTCGGCTCCTGCGCCCGGACGGAAGGGGCCGCAAACCCCCGGACGGAAGGGGCCGCAAACCCCCGGACTCTTCATTAAAGGGGAAGTCTCAATGACACAAGACTGAAGTGAAACAGGAAAGAATCAGAGACAAATACAAGGATTTTATGGTTTGGAGAGCGCAGGGACTGGCCTCTGAGGAGCACAGGTACTGGACTCCTGCTGGGACTCTGAGGAGCACAGGTACTGGACTCCTGCTGGGACTCTGAGGAGCACAGGGACTGGCCTCCTGCTGGGACTCTGAGGAGCACAGGGACTGGCCTCCTGCTGGGACTCTGAGGAGCACAGGGACTGGCCTCCTGATGGGACTCTGAGGAGCACAGGGACTAGCCTCTGAGGAGCACAGGGACTGTCCTCCTGCTGGGACTCTGAGGAGCACAGGGACTAGCCTCTGAGAAGCACAGGGACTGGCCTCCTGCTGGGACTCTGAGGAGCACAGGGACTGGCCTCCTGCTGGGACTCTGAGGAGCACAGGGACTGGCCTCCTGCTGGGACTCTGAGGAGCACAGGGACTGGACTCCTGCTGGGACTCTGAGGAGCACAGGGACTGGCCTCCTGCTGGGACTCTGAGGAGCACAGGGACTGGCCTCCTGCTGGGACTCTGAGGAGCACAGGGACTGGCCTCCTACTGGGACTCTGAGGAGCACAGGGACTGGCCTCCTGCTGGGACTCTGAGGAGCACAGGGACTGGACTCCTGCTGGGACTCTGAGGAGCACAGGGACTGGACTCCTGCTGGGACTCTGAGGAGCACAGGGACTGGACTCCTGTTAGTGCCCAGAGTCAGAACTAAACATGGGGAGGCTGCTTTTCAGATTCATGCTGCTAAAATCTGGAACATTCTTCCTGAAGATGTGAGACAGGCCTCCTCTCTGACAATGTTTAAAACCAGGTTAAAGACAGTTCTGTTTAGCTGTGCTACAACTGAGGGATTTTATATTTTTATCTTCTTTATGTTCTGTGATTATTGATGATTTTGATCTTATTTTCTTCAGCACTTGGAGTTGCCTTGTGTATGAACTGTGCTATACAGATAAACTTGCCTTGCCTTTATCTCAAAGCCAGACACAGTGAACCTTTAAAGATCATTCCCGTCTCTCCTGCAGCAGAGTGAAACCAAAACTCATTCACAAAAAAACCAATAAAGGCACGACGGCGGCCTCTCCGCCCCCGAGCGCTCCAGACGCCGTGGTTAACGCCGCCGCTCCGGTTCAAGTAGTGAAATTTTAATCCGCTGTTATTTCCGGCGGAGTGAGCGGAGGTGAGTGTGTCGCTGGGCTGTAAACAAAGCAGCGGCGACGGAGGCATGAATATTTAAGGAGCGATCAGGGGAGACCTCCATTACCGAGCGCGGCGAGCTGTGATGTCACGCCTCATTATGGGAGCGGACACGGCGCCGCGGAGGTTAGCGGTGTGTGCGGCGCGTTAGCAAACTGCTACAACTCTGAACCTGCGAGGTCTGCTGCGTACGGGGGAGAAACAAGGATATCCATGAAGAGAATCAGCGGAGAGGGTTTGGTGAATCTGAGGAAAGGACTATTCACCGATCATGAAGCTAAAAACCAACAAGGAAAGCACTCGTAGAGCACAGAACTCTGCCTAGAGGCGCAGATACAGTCAAACAATTAAGTCGAAAATCCTGCATCAAGATTCCTCCAATAATAACTCTGGACACTGTGGAAAGGACTGACCAAAGTTATGAATCTCAAAATAAGCAAACTGCTACTTTTATTTTGGAGCTGTTCTTATGCCTGTAGTCTGTTCATTGCTATTCACCCGTTGTCCCATTGTCTGTTTCATGGCGCGACAATGGGACCTCTGAGCCTGGCCTCCTCCATCTACACCTGCGGACTGCCCCGCCCGACCCGCCTGGGAGTGCCTCAGTCCTGCACCGGACCTGTCCACGTTCTGTAGCTTAGGTCCTGGATCCAGCCCGTCCGTCCATGGGAGCGGATCCCTTTCTCAATATGTGGGTCTCTTTTTTTGCCACTGGGTTTTCGTGAGTTGTTCCTTGCCGATGCAGGAGGGTCTGTTGGGCAGTTAGTGTCCAACAAGAAGGACTGTGATGATCAGGACACTTTAACATTCTACATGTATGACATTTATCAACACTCATGGACGTTTGGTCTCTCCTTACAGACTTATACTTATGTTTATATTTGGTGTTTTAACTGTTGATTCTCTGATCTGTGTTGGTGAGTTCAATGGTTTTGTTAAGTCTCTGAGAGGATGCTGTTGTGATTTAGGGCTGTACAAGAATAAGTTGTTGTTGTTGTTATGGCTTCTTGCTATTTTTATTAACACAAATCCACTGAACAAACCGACACAGAAGGGTCTAAGGACAGTGGAGACACATTTATGGACCAATGGCTCTATGTGTTTGTTATTGTTGCATTTTGTGGCTTTGAACTGATTTTCTGATCTGTGTCGGCGAATCAACAGCTTTGTAATGTCCTCTGAGGTAACTACTGTTGTGATTCATGGCTATAATATACATAGAACTGTATAGAACTGTATAGAATGGCACACCTTGGCTCACATCAGTTGGATTATGACAGGGTGAATGGACATTATTCTAAACCTGTGGCTTATCTCTTTGATCTTTTTCCCGCGGTTCCTTCAGATTCTCACATGTTGCTGTTAAACGCCGTGAAACTCTGATAAAAGAGCCTTATCTCGCCGTTGTGGTGGCGCCGTGCTGGGCCTCCGCTACACGCTCCGATCGATGGGGATTGCAGAAACATATTGAGCGCTTTCCACGGCCTTCTGCTCGCCGCGGCGTGGAGGGGTGGTCGCCACGGAGATAATGGAAGGTAAAGCCCACACATATGGCACAGAGCAGAGAGACGGATTCATCTCAGAGATCTCAGCCTCTGTTTTTAAACTAGGATCAAGTCGTTTCTGACAGAACCAGTGTCTGTCAGAAAGAACCAGTGTCCGTCAGAAAGAACCAGTGTCTGTCAGAAAGAACCAGTGTCTGTCAGAAAGAACCAGTGTCTGTCAGAGAGAACCAGTGTCTGTCAGAGAGAACCAGTGTCTGTCAGAGAGAACCAGTGTCTGTCAGAGAGAACCAGTGTCTGTCAGAGAGAACCAGTGTCCGTCAGAGAGAACCAGTGTCTGTCAGAGAGAACCAGTGTCAGTCAGAAAGAACCAGTGTCTGTCAGAGAGAACCAGTGTCTGTCAGAAAGAACCAGTGTCCGTCAGAAAGAACCAGTGTATGTCAGAGAGAACCAGTGTCTGTCAGAGAGAACCAGTGTCTGTCAGAGAGAACCAGTGTCTGTCAGAGAGAACCAGTGTCTGTCAGAGAGAACCAGTGTCTGTCAGAAAGAACCAGTGTCCGTCAGAGAGAACCAGTGTCTGTCAGAGAGAACCAGTGTCTGTCAGAAAGAACCAGTGTCTGTCAGAAAGAACCAGTGTCTGTCAGAGAGAACCAGTGTCTGTCAGAGAGAACCAGTGTCTGTCAGAGAGAACCAGTGTCTGTCAGAGAGAACCAGTGTCTGTCAGAGAGAACCAGTGTCTGTCAGAGAGAACCAGTGTCTGTCAGAGAGAACCAGTGTCTGTCGGAGAGAACCAGTGTCTGTCAGAGAGAACCAGTGTCTGTCGGAGAGAACCAGTGTCTGTCGGAGAGAACCAGTGTCTGTCAGAGAGAACCAGTGTCTGTCAGAGAGAACCAGTGTCTGTCAGAGAGAACCAGTGTCTGTCAGAAAGAACCAGTGTCTGTCAGAAAGAACCAGTGTCTGTCAGAGAGAACCAGTGTCTGTCAGAAAGAACCAGTGTCCGTCAGAGAGAACCAGTGTCCGTCAGAGAGAACCAGTGTCCGTCAAAAAGAACCAGTGTCGGTCAGAGAGAACCAGTGTCTGTCAGAGAGAACCAGTGTCTGTCGGAGAGAACCAGTGTCTGTCGGAGAGAACCAGTGTCTGTCAGAGAGAACCAGTGTCTGTCAGAGAGAACCAGTGTCTGTCAGAGAGAACCAGTGTCTGTCAGAGAGAACCAGTGTCCGTCAGAGAGAACCAGTGTCTGTCAGAGAGAACCAGTGTCTGTCAGAAAGAACCAGTGTCTGTCAGAAAGAACCAGTGTCTGTCAGAGAGAACCAGTGTCTGTCAGAAAGAACCAGTGTCCGTCAGAGAGAACCAGTGTCCGTCAGAGAGAACCAGTGTCCGTCAAAAAGAACCAGTGTCGGTCAGAGAGAACCAGTGTCTGTCAGAGAGAACCAGTGTCTGTCGGAGAGAACCAGTGTCTGTCGGAGAGAACCAGTGTCTGTCAGAGAGAACCAGTGTCTGTCAGAGAGAACCAGTGTCTGTCAGAGAGAACCAGTGTCTGTCAGAGAGAACCAGTGTCCGTCAGAGAGAACCAGTGTCTGTCAGAGAGAACCAGTGTCTGTCAGAGAGAACCAGTGTCTGTCAGAGAGAACCAGTGTCTGTCAGAAAGAACCAGTGTCTGTCAGAGAGAACCAGTGTCTGTCAGAGAGAACCAGTGTCTGTCAGAAAGAACCAGTGTCTGTCAGAGAGAACCAGTGTCTGTCAGAAAGAACCAGTGTCCGTCAGAGAGAACCAGTGTCTGTCAGAAAGAACCAGTGTCTGTCAGAAAGAACCAGTGTCTGTCAGAGAGAACCAGTGTCTGTCAGAAAGAACCAGTGTCTGTCAGAGAGAACCAGTGTCTGTCAGAAAGAACCAGTGTCTGTCAGAAAGAACCAGTGTCTGTCAGAGAGAACCAGTGTCTGTCAGAAAGAACCAGTGTCTGTCAGAAAGAACCAGTGTCTGTCGGAGAGAACCAGTGTCTGTCGGAGAGAACCAGTGTCTGTCAGAGAGAACCAGTGTCTGTCAGAGAGAACCAGTGTCTGTCAGAGAGAACCAGTGTCTGTCAGAGAGAACCAGTGTCTGTCAGAGAGAACCAGTGTCTGTCAGAGAGAACCAGTGTCTGTCAGAGAGAACCAGTGTCTGTCAGAGAGAACCAGTGTCTGTCGGAGAGAACCAGTGTCTGTCAGAGAGAACCAGTGTCTGTCAGAGAGAACCAGTGTCTGTCAGAAAGCACCCGTGTC